CTCTTGACTGTAAAGCCTTGGTAGATCGGGCCAGTTCAGAACAGTCCTCACAGTCAGGTCTGGAGTCTGGGTATAAATGTCCTCTACGTGGTTCGGCCTTTAATACAGTTTCTTTTATTCTCCTACATGTGTCGAGACAGCCTGTGATGGAGATGGTCCATCAAGAGTTAGGCTCATCTCTAGAACCAACCTCCCAGAGAGGGACTGGACTCTGTTCTTCTCTGGAGCTGTGCAGAGTGAGGGGACTGGGATGACCCCACATCTGGGCAGATGTGGATATATGGTTCCAGTTGTGGATGAGATTTTACCTGAGATGATGAAGGCTCTGGACACTGGACACACGTCCTTCAGTGTCACGAGGCTGAGGAGAGCCTGTGGACTGGCAGGCCGGGTGGTGGTTCCCATATTTAACAAGACTAAGTATAAATCTATTGCCTGGACTGTGTATGGGCACCAACTGTGGGCTTAGGGCAACACCTCTTGTTACAGGCTGTCACCCAGCCGCTCTGGGTTCCCAGAGACTTGGGAGCTTTTATTATACTGTATGTACCATTATCGCTTAAGGGGGCCACACCGAGCAGAGAGAGCAGGGGAGAGAAACGCCATTGCTAACTGCTAAGCTAAAGAAACTAGCTGATCTGAACAGCATGTAAACAACGGAAATGAGACATTACACCTACTGCAGCACAGCAATTAAAGTCATGTTAAGAAATAAAAGGTTTCTGAAACACTAGAGAGCTTTTAAGTTGAAACACTTACAGGAAATGTTGATTTTGTATTAATGCATAATAAAGTGACTTTAACAGGAGAAGATCAAAACAAGGTTTTATACTAAAATACTAGTCAGATCAATTATATGTATATCAAACAGAGGGAGTTAGAAATAAAGGCCTGACTCTAATGAAGACCTGTTACCTTCTGCAGCTGAGCTAAACATACTATTTTACTACACTATTTGAGGAAATACAGGTGTTGAAAACTGATGACGTAATACAAACTGTTCACGCCAAATCAATTTGAAAGAGCAAAGGTTGAAAGGTCGGAGACAAGAGGGTAAACCCAAAACAAGAGAGAATTTGTTTTTTCTGGCGTGGGATCTCTCAGGAGGTCCTGGAAAACATTGCTATGTATGTGTATATCCATATGTATGGGGGATATACTGTATGTATATATCATTAAAAAGTCTCAGGTCTTTCAACTATGGAGGATGTGGTCTTTCCATTTTGGATGGAATCCAACCCAGTCTGTTACACTGGTGGATATGACTGTATCTTTGATTCTGGATACCCTACTGCTGGCCTCACCAGTGGTTGTCATGGTGATAAGTGATCCCCAAACACTGTTGACCCCTTGACCTCTGAGGCACAGGCAAATCAGAAATCCTCTTTTGGTCTAATGAACTGTACACACACACACACACACACACACACACACACACACACACACTCACACACACACACACACACACACACACGCACACTCATTCCTCAATATAGAGTCTTGGCTAAACTTGGAGATGAATAGAGACCTCCTGCGTACTACAACTTTTCCACTTCACTAATACATATTGTGTGTGTGTGTGTGTGTGTGTGTCTGTCTGTCAGTGTTCGGCCTGCAGCCCAAGGCCTGTTCAATAACTCTGTCGCTCTGTCTTTCTCTTGTTCATTCCATGTTATTTCAGCTGAACCTGCTCACTCTGTGGACTGATTTCACCTCAGCACTTGTACCCATCAGGAATGTGAACACAGCCTCAAACTCTCCTCTGATTTGTCAACAGTGAGGGAAACATAATCAGATGCAGTGGTACTTTGAAAAAACAATCCCTGTCAGAGATGTCTGTGAAACAGCCTCAAAGTTCATGCACAAAACCACCAAGATGTGAACTAATTTATTTTTTGTAATATTTACCTTGAGGAAAAAGACAACATTACGACGAGTGCAAAACAATAAACAGAAATTTTATGTTGTTTCTTTTCAAATGTAATAGGTTACGGATCACTAAGTTTTAATTATTTCATCAAAGCAATAATACTTATTACGTTTTAAAACAATTATGTCTTATTCATATTTCATATATACTGTATATTCAGTTAAAAACACACAGCTGAATGAAATCAGTGGGGCTATGTCCACACTACTACATTTTTGTTTTGAAACTCATCTCTTTTGCTGTTTCCTCCTCACATTCACACAATTCTGGACTAAAAACAGAGACTTTGAGAAACTCTGCTGGACCCGTTTCAGTTTGAAAACTCTGGGGTTGTGTTGTAGTCTGGATGGACAGAAACGGAGACCTTTGGAAACGATGACGTCACACTCACGGTCTCTTCTGATTGGCTCTCATCAGCCTGGACTACCAGTGGTGAATACAACATGATAATGAATTACAGTCTTACTGACCTTGTTGTCTTTGCTAGCAGCTGTTGTTCAATTATATTCTCTATTTTAATGTTACAACTGTCTTTCCTGTTCCTCTTACGTAGTATTTTTTGCAACTAATCAACTGCAGAGTGCCCAACATACTTAGCCTGAGTGTCACTAGACCTGTCACCTGTCTGACCCACAGATACACCAACAGAAGACAAATGTCTTATTCTACCTATCAGCTTTTTACCAAAAAGAATATATTCAGATGTAAAACCTTTGTAATCACCAACATTTTCATTAGTAACTGTGATTCATTTTTTCCTCAGTAAATGTAACAGATTACAATTACATTTATTTTTTAAATTTAATTACATAATCCCATTACATGTAATGAGTGTCTGCTCAACACTGTTTATACAGGCATGTAAATATACACTGAACAAAAATACAACCCTTTTGTTCTTGCTTCAATTTTTCATGAGTTGAAATCAAAGATCTAAGACTTTGGTTCACTCACTCACTCAATCATTCCCTCCTCCCTCCTCACTATCCAGGAAGTTCTCTGTAGAGGACTACGCAGTGAGCTCATTGGTAAATGAAAACATTCAGGTCATTTTCTCCACACCCTTTTCAGCGCAGGTGCAATGCATGATGGTATATATGCTTGGTTAGTGACCATCAGTTGTACGCTACTTTTCACGATTCATTGTGAGATACTATGAGTCCACTACAAAGGGCATAATATTTCTCACCACTATATGTGTATGAGATGAGCTTTGAACACCAGGATTTGTGGATTTTCTGTCATCCCTCTCAGGCTCTGTCTCTCACCGAACCCTCAGCCCAGTCCTGAGCGCTCTGGACCAGGTTTTCATTAAGGATATCTCTGTACTTTACTGTACTGTACCTGATGTTGTGTCCACCATGCTTCACTGTTGGGATGGTATTAGGCAGGTGTTGAGTGGTGCCTGGTTTCCTCCAGACATAATGCTTAGAACTGAGACCAAACAGTTTCATCAGACCAGACCCTCTGATATCAGAGCTTGCAGACATGTAGACTGGCTCCTGAGCTTTAGCTTCCAGCTGTAGCAGCACTGAGGCTTTGCCAAATGTAACTCACATTACATAGAGTCATAATTGAATCCTTGTAAGCACTGACAAATGGCTGTGGTGTATTTAACTCATATAGGCTAACATGGTAATAAAACTGCTTTAATAAATGCCAACAATAAATCACAGCGGACAGTGAGATGGAAGAGCTTCCTGTCAGTCTGTATGAAAACTATAAATAAGGTTATACTGTTTACCTTCCATGTAAAATACCCAGATCAATTAGGAAACCTAAAAGATATTGTACAGAAGTAATTAAGTAATTCTGACATTTAGTGCTCAACACAAACAAACAAACAAACAAACAAACAAACAGTGAGTGTGTCATTTTGGAAACAATGGCAGTATTAGTGGAATCTACTTAGCGAAATGGGTGTAAGCAATGAGCCAGTTAAAGTCTGAGAGGTCGGCAGAGTGAACCTGGCCGCATACGTGAGCAGATTAATGGAGCATTAGTCCACTGGGACCTTGTAAAGAAGGGAGACACGTCCGGTGGGTGCTGGACTCTCCGCTGCTCCTCTCAACTTCATTCTGGCACTCACATGTTAAGACGCGGGGATCATTGTAAGCTGTAAAAGACGAAAGTTGTGTGACTTCCTGCAGGCCTTTCGCAATAAAAGTACGTTTAGCTTCATATAACATCTATGTGACAAAACGGACTACATCAGTGGTTCCCTAAGTTTTCCTTTTGCAGATTTCAAGTACTTGTTTTGTTTGGTTGCTCCTGCACATAGAGAAACATGCTCTGTAATCAATACAGAACCGTAACTTCAGTGTGTGACATCTTCCTGAAAAAACTAAATAAGGAACCAGTGGCTTATTGAGTGGAAGAAATTAAAAGTGACACTGCAGCATCTCCTGCATCTTCTGCTTGCAGCATATTTTCTGCCTCTCCTCTACCATCTCCCTGGGAAATAAACAAGAGCCAGAACATTTTCTCTGCAACAATTCCACTTCCTGATGTCCTGTAATCTTTTCAGTGACTGGTGAGGGCTAGCTTTGTGATAATATGTTTCTTCATTTGATCACCTCTGATATATATGATATATGAGGCTATGCTGGAGCTTGGCTCACCAGATCCAGACCTTTAGTTCATGAATACCAGATAATAACAAACGATAACCCAATAATTATACATTTTGATATTTAGATATAGACCCAGAAAAAAGGAGAAAAAAAGATATGTAATTCCTATCAGCTGTCGATCGAGGTCAGTAGAAAAATATTTACTCTATGCATGTTTTTATAGCTGACCAAACAAGTGGCCAGTTACCCCGTAGGCTTTTATTTTGAAGGCAAATAGCTGGATTTCCTCTACTTTTGCACTTTAACGGATCTAATTGACGCAGCACACTCTTCTGACCGGATTTATCTGTTTCCATATGACCGGGATACTGAATACTGGACCTTGACAGAACGACGCGGAGACAAAGAAGAGAGAGAGAGAGAGAGAGAGTGTGTGTGTGTGTGTGTGTGTGTGTGAGAGAGAGAGACAGAGAGAGAGAGAGAGAGAGCGAGAGAGAGAGAGTTATCAGCGGCAGAAGGAGAGGGGAGCGCAGATACTGGGGAGGTATTTTTAAATATCATTCCTATGGTTCTCGGATCATAATCACTTGAGGACTTTATAACCATGCACCTACTGGGAATATCCCTCCTACTGGCTTATCTGCTCTACACCAACCTCGCCAGCGACTTCAGCCACAGCAGTTATGATGATTACTACGAGCAGGAGCAGATGGACGAGCCGGTAAGTTTGAGAAAAAATGGCCAGAACTTGTTTGAAGTATATCTATCTATCTATCTATCTATCTATCTATCTATCTATCTATCTATCTATCTATCTATCTATGTGTGTGCGTGTGTGTGTATGTGTTCTCATAGAACAAGGCTAACATGTGCTATGATGTTTCACCTGATCCTGTCAGTGTGGGGGTCCAGGGACCACCAGGGTCCATCATGTGGTTTGATAGAATAATTTGAATAAAGGATACAAAGACCATTTGAAAACCTTGGTGTTATGCACATAACTTCAACCAAGTCTAACCAGACTGCTTTTCATTGTGAAATATTTTAAAATGACGAAATTCTGTACAAATCTATTAAATGGGGCATGAATTTACCCATGAATTAAAGTTTACTCATCATGAGGGATGGTGGAAAAGTAGCCCTGATGATGTCATAGTAATGTCATCAGGGTGAGCACATCTTGAATTTTGTGTGTCTAATGAGAGATGCCACTGACTGCTTTGTATTTGTTGCTTTGGTTATGACCATTTCTGTTTTTTTTTTTTTTTTTAATTATTATCTGTCCTCCAACTTTACGGAATTGCAATATTAAATTGATGGAATACTCCTTTGATTTGGTTAAAGCTAGAAATCAGAACATTAACACAAACCTGTGGCTTCATCAGAACCTAAAATCTGAGGCTGCTGTGAACGGACCATTTTTATACATCAACAGGATATTACATAAATGAGGTTGTGACATCAATGTGCTTTATTCTGAATTATTTACATTTTCTATCCAAAAATTGTACATATATCCCCAAGAAATATCCTTATATCCCCTATCCTGGGAAAACACACCATTATGACCGCAGAACTTACCCCCACATCTCCTTTATTTACGCCAAGCCTATCTACAAAATGTGCCTGTTCACTCAGATAATGCAGACAAATCCCCTGAAACACAGAGAAAAGTTCCCAAACTGTTTTTCACATGGTCAAAATAAATAAACAAATGAATAAAACTTTTGCACTTTCTCCCTCTCGGATCAGTTTTAGCAATTATCTCTATTCACTTCCCAAGTTTTATTTTGCTGTTGTGTGTGTGTGTGTGTGTGTGTGTGTGTGTGTGTGTGTGTGTGTGTGTGTGTGTGTTTGTGTGTGTGTGTGTGTGTGGCTTTAACAAGTGAAAACAAAAGGGGCATTAGTAACAGTCAGCGCTCAGAATGAGAAGCCAAAGCCAGATCTCGGAGTGTATTTTCCTACTGATGGTAATCATCTGTTCTGGTGCGCAGGATATCATTAAAGGTTTAGCCTGAGCTTTTTTTGCTGAGCCTCTGGATCTGAGAGGTCAAACAGTGTTTTTATGTATCACACTTTAAATGAGGTGTTTAGTGTTTTACACAAGAAAAAGTAACACTGATGTTAACTTTCTTTTGTTTGATGGTTATTATCCATCCGTCAAGTGCTGTAATAATAGTTGGATTAATACACCATTGAAACATACTTTTCTTTAATGTTATGCCAGCATAGCAGATTTGAATTGAACTGAATTAACAGAGAAACTGGACGAGAGAGGAAGGGAATCAGTGAGAGAGAGAGAGAGAGAGAGAGAGAGAGAGAGAGAGAGAGAGAGAGAGAGAGAGAGAGCAGTGAACATTTTCCATCCAAGGGGGAGGATTAGCCAGAGAAAAGAGCCAATGAAGGCAAGTGTCACATAGGTCAAGTGTGTGTGTGTATGTGTGTGTGTAGCTTCCACAGAGGCAGGGCTAGAGTAAAGGGGGGTTTAAGTGCTAAGCAGTATCATGCAGCCATTTGATCATAGTAGACTCTGAACTGGGATGATGAGCTTCTCTCCCAGCTCCAGCCTCCTCACAGTTATTCTGTGGAATTTAAATAACACCTGCTTGTCTGTGCTGTCAGGTGTCTACGGATTAAAAAAAAAACAAAAAACAGATAATGCAGCAGGGTAGGAATGCAGTTTTCAACCAATCATTTAATTTTCTATCCACACTTGATTTCCTGGTTCCATGCTTCAAATGAGTGTTTCTTTCTGTTTTGTTCATCTTACTATGGAAAATGTATCACTTTAAAGACCCCTTAATCTTTTGCTTAGCCTTCCTTTTACTTATAACACAAGTAAAACAGTATAGAGTACTGAGATCCCTTCACCTTTTGCACACTTGCTGTACATTTGCTGTAGGTTTAATTGTAAATGGATAAAACTGCCATTTTTGCCACCTGTCTACACCCAGTAACCCATGACAACATGAAAGCATGTTTTCAGATTTTTTAGCAAATTTATTAAAAATCAAAAACTGATCTCTCATTTACAAAAGCATCCATCCATCCATCCTTCCATCCATCCATCTATCCATCTATCCATCCTTCCATCCATCCAATTTCTGCCACTTATCTGGAGTCGGGTCATTGTGGCAGCAGGTTAAGCAAGGTAGTCCAGACATCCCTCTCCCCAACACTGCTTTCCAGTTCCTCCCAGATATATAGTCTCTCTAACATGTTCTGAGTCTACCCTGGAGCATCCTACAGTTTGGACATGCCCACAAAACATCCAATTGCAGGTACCCAGGAAGCATGATCAGACGCCCAACCACCTCTTCTGGCTCCTTTCGACAAGGTAAAACAGTGGCTCTAGTCCTAGCTTCCTACCCTATCTATAAATTCAAGTACAACCACCCTATGAGGAATGAACAGCCTAAATGAGTTTCCTCATTATTATTACTCACAATCTCATCCCAAAGCTTGTAATCATAGGTGAAGGGTAAAAGGCAGATTGGCTGGTAAATCGAAAGCTTTGCCCTCCAGCTCATCTTCCTTTTCAGCTCAATGGTCCAGTCCAGTGCTTGCATTACTGCTGATGCCACAATCCACGTGTCAATGGCAGAACCCCCCCACAAGATCCTCCGCACAAAGTCTCCTCCAGGTCCACAGAACATATGTAGACTGGATGAGCAAACTCCCATAACCCCTCCAGTAACCATGTGAAGATAAAGAGTTGGTCCATTGTTCCATGCCCAGGTCAAAGTCCACATTACTCCTCCTGGATCTTAGGTTTGACGGTCAGTCGCAGTCTCCTTTCCAGCACCCTAGCATAAGCTTTTCCTGGGGTGGCTGAGCAGTGTGATACCCCAATAATGGGAGCATACCCTCTGGCCCCCCTTTTTAAATGTGGGAACTGCCACCCTGGTCTGCCAGTCCAAAAGCAGAGTCCCCAACCTCCATGTAGCCTTGAAGACAGACATCATCCAAGAGTGAATCTTCCCCTGAGTCTTCAAACTCCATAGTCTCCAGGAACTCCTCCCACACCTCAGCCAGGTGTTCCCAGGCCACCCTCACTACACGTTTGGGTAGTGGAGTTTGTTATGGCCAATCCATGACGAGCTTGGAAGTCCAATAACAAAACTCTACACGTGTTTATTTCAGACAGGCTGTTCCTTTCAATCACCCACCTTCAGGTTTCTTCATCATTGTGTTCACCATGTGAACATTGAAGGCCCCCAGGAGGAATATAGAGTGTCCAGGTGTTTCCCTTTTTAAAACGCCACCCAGAGGCTCCCAGAAGGCTGGACACTCAAACTGACGTTTGGTGCATAAAAGCACAAAGAGTCCTCCTCCCAGTGACTTGTGGTCACATGGAGACAACCCTCTCATTCTCTGAGGAGAATTCCAACACAGCATCGCTCAGCTGGAGGCTCCTGTATATCCCCAAACCCACCTGGTGACTCACACCTTGGGTAACTCAGTGAAATGAGAAAATCCAGCCCTTCCCCATGAGTTTGGTTCTAGAGCCAATGTCGGTATTGCCGTACCTCCTGCATCAATTCGGACTCCTCCCCACCAGAGAGGTGAAATTTCATGTCCCCAGGACATCTGATGCCAGCAATGGCCAGATGCAACAGTATATTCATCATTAAAGAATATTCAACCAGTTTAGCATTGCCATGCTTCTTTTTTTAAAGCATCACAATCAATGCAGCAGAACGAGAAATATAGGGTTTATTTTATATGTCTGTGTATTCTCTTTACCTTTTCAAACCCTGGTGCCTACATTACCTAAAATGCAACTTGACTGCAAATAGTTCAGTTGTGTTATGCTAGCCAAAGTAGCCTCACAGCACTAGTCTCTAGCATAGACTGAACACACAGTCTGTAGAGGAAAATGACTGGTAATTATCAAGTGGTTATATTGGGGACAACAATAGTGTCTAAATCTGTCATATCTACCATCTGCTTGTGGGGGCTTTGCAGGACTACACTGGGTGTCTGTCTGAGGTCCATAAACCTGAATAAATCACATTAGCTTGACTTATAAAAAGCATATCAATATGAGCTCTGGCCTGGAAGAACCCATGTTTCAGTTCTGACAAATACTGTACGTAACACATCAAGATGCACATTGAATCCATGACAAAGCTTGTACATGGTCCAGCTAGATCTTCTCTGACTCATTTGACTTACTACATTTGGCTTCTTCGTGGAGGAAAAATTCATCATCAGTCTCTCCAGTGAACCCTGTTGTGTGCCATTTGTCTCCCAGCAGTTCCTCAGTTTTTTTAGTTTTTTTTTTATCTTTCCTCCATGTTTTCATTGGCTTTCTGTGCCTAGTTTTTTCTTCTGACCTGCAATATCTGAACAGTTTTTACTTCATTGTTTTGGGGATTTTCAAAATAGCAGTGTTAGTGAGTATTAATAGTTTTTTTATACATCCCTGACGAGCCTCATTTGTCACAGCGCGGCTCAAAGGTGGCAGCTAAACAAAAGGAATTTATTTACAAAGAAGAGTTTAAGTTTCCCAATGTGACTAAAGACTATATAACAAAAAGAAAGTCACAGCTGTCACCTGGCCAGGGGAGAGGGAATTTCCCCTAGAGGGAGCAGAATGAGGGAGATTTATAGCGAAGAGCACACTGGACCCAGGTGTAGCTCATGCAGCTGATGATTCAGCACCTCCAAAACACAACCAAAACAGACAAAGGGACACCTAGTGCCCAGGTGGAGGTG